AAACCAAAGATTTTGTCCTAATTGTCAAAATAAAAATTGGCGACGAATTTCATTATTTACTTGAATGTTGTCAATTTAACGAAGAAAGAAAACGATTTTTGAAAAAAGTATATTATCAACGACCAAACATTTTTAAACTAGAAAATCTTATGTGTACTAAAAACAAATCTGAATTTCTCAAATTGTGTAAATTTGTTAAATGTATTATTCAAAAGATAAGAACTTAACTATTCATTGAAAATACTTGTGTTATTTATATTACATTAGTTCTAAATTTGTAATTATTGATTAGCATGTTTCGTTTGTCACCTTTTATGAGCCTCGTATGATTATATCATTTATTGTGAATTCCTCATATTTGCATGTATACATGTATTGAGAGAAATAAAGATTATGTTATGTTATGTTATGTCATATCTAATTGTTTAGTAACCAGTCAACTGTATAAATACAATGCAAACATCTTTCATTTAAAACACAACAGTCTTTTGTTGCCTTTCACACCTTCACACCTCTGTTCAATTTATACCAAAGTAAATAACAACTTTTTATGGTGCTAACAACATCACTTTTTTCACTTGAAATGGGATTTTTTAGAATAGAAGAAATTAATTAGTGTTTATTTTGCTCTTTTACTAGTAAATACAAAGTAATAAAAGATTTTAATAAGGATATTTTAGGGTAATGAGTTCTGTTCATCTTCATTTAATTTTTACTTAAAGTCTTTGGTGCTTTTTATGATGAATACTATGTTAACATTTGAAGGAATATTGCAGCAAATTACTTTAGATTTGATAACTTACTTTTTCACAAAAATAAATTATAGTTAATGCAATTTACAGCTTTATTTTATGTGAAAAATTGATGTTATTTTTAATTTTATCAAAACCAAAAGTACTGGGTAATGCAGTAGCAGTACCACTTTTTAAGACAGTAATGCAGTACCAGTACCAGTAGTAGAAAAATTTTGTAAGAGTAATTCAGTATCAGTACCAGTACTTGCAAAATCGCTGCAGTATATACTGCAGTACCAGTACCAGTAATGCAGCTCTGCTGCCTGGTAAAATTTTCATTATTAAGAATCTAACGAAAATAGTAATTATGCTTAGTTACCCAGTAATATGGTCTACTATTAAAACAAATCGTTAATCTTATAATAGTAAACATTTTTATTCATTTCACCATCCTTTTTATGTAATATCTTTTTCAATTATACAAAATTTTGGCAATTTCAATCTGCCAATCTTACAAGAGAAAGGATTAAGATCTTTATATCCCTCTATTATTGTACTTAATCGTATTCGGCAAATGTCCACCCTATCCCCCAATGACGTCATCCAAGGGCGACAACTTGAATGCGGTTCTATATACATAGCCAACTTTGGATTTGAGCCGAGAGACAATGTGACAGCGCGATAACACGCCGCACGCCAACACACCGTTTGGCGTGCTTCGTTAGCAACAGCACCGTTTGGTTCTTGTGATGCTGTCGCTAGCGACAACACGACGCACAAAAGTGTTTCAAAAAAGACACCATATAGGTAGGCGTGTTGTCCAGCTTGAGGAATACATAAATTGTATTTTAACTGTCAGAAATTTTAACGCTATGATTACGTTTGCTAGACGCTAGTTTGTTTGTCCTTAAAGCGTATACACTGTGTATATCCAGTAACGCCGCAATGTAAAAGTAACGCACGATTCGTGCAATAAGTAACGCAGAATTGTGCAATAAATGGCGGATAACTGACAGGATTTTCAATGCAGTAAGTAAAGTGACCAATATATTTTTTTATTTAACCGAACTGAAAAAAGGGAATAACCGCATACGGCTGCGAATACATTAATCTTTATCCCTCATCAAAATTATTTCCACGACATTGTTAACTTTTCAAGATCATTCGTGAAATGGTAGCTTAACTAACGCTTTGAGCGAGATTTTGGCTTTTTGTCGACTCTTATAAGTACAACAATGCATATTATACCGAATAATTTTGATTTTCGGTAGGCAAGTGACATTTACTAAACTTCTGGTGATATAGAAAATTGAAATAAGCTGATAAAATGTTATTTAAATCGTTTTTATGAAGTAACTCCGATGTACGTGAATAGTGCTTCTGGTTGTTCTTGAAGCGGCAGAGAAGATGTGTTTATAATAGGTAAATAAACGTCCGCGAGGGAACAATCATGGAATTCATTGTACGACCCTTAAACAATGGCATCAGATTCAATTCGAGTAACCAAAAGTAATTCTCACCGAAATAATGTATTTAGGTCATGTATTTACATGAGATTGCTTAAAAGAAGATCCCACTAAATTCAAAGCAATTAAAGACTTGAGACCATCGACATCCGAAATCCAAACTCCAGGTCGTATGCCTATTTATCTATGTTGTTAAGTTTCAGAAATCTATCAGAGATAACCGCCCCTTTGAGAGAACTATTGCTGTATTCACATTGCAAGAACCTAAAAGTGATGTATTTAGAACAAAGTAATCTGAATAAACAAATTAACAATATATACAGGTTAATTTCGTCGTTCAACAAAAACAATGAGAATGGTATAGTTGTAAGACAATGATGTCATGTTTTTATCTTTAGTTTTTTTTTTCTTTTGAAACGAAACGTATTAGATATGTTACTAAATTGTTGGTGATAAAGTGTTTAGTGTTCAACAGAAGTGCGCATTACATCATCTATATCTAGCACTCGAACTTGTTCAGGTAGATCAATTCTGATTCCAATTGTTCCATCTCTGAATTCGTGCATAACTGGTGCTACAAGACAAATATATCCACCTGGTTTAACCTGGGAGTAGCTGAAATACGGAAATGGGTTGTCTCCAAAATCATCTAAATAAAACTCCACCTTACTTTCTTTGCCATGTTCATCCTGAAAGGTTATAGAAAAAATATCTTTCTAGAACCTAATTTAGAAATCGGTCAAACTTTTTAACTAAATATATATATCTTTAAGGTGTGTAAATTTCAACATTTCCGGTGAAATGTTACAAATATTTACCTAATGTTCTTACATATTTGTTCATTTATTTCCTAAAATTTTTGAAATTTTAGATAAGGTTCAATGGTTAATTGCTTATTTTCTTATCTTGCCTATTAATATACATGAAGCATGAACTGTTACAGTCATGTCAGTATTAACTATGATTTTATCCTATATACCTTTGATTATTAGATATATATATACCTTTAAGTATACGCCATGTCGCATCACGTGCGCGTGATATCTATACATGAATGCCACAAGTACATATTTGTCATTCCATGAATCCAGAAGGTTAAAAAGAGAATGCAAATATTCATCGGGGATATCATCAAATGCTGTCACAACTTTAAAGTCAGGAAAGTAGGATTTTGTCATTCGGATAGCTTTTTCTAGAGAACCGTCAGGAGGGTTTAATCTAAAAAGTGCTTGCTCTCGAGTCAATGTTTTGTAAAATCGCTCTCTTGGACCTATGTAAGTCTGAAAACCAAAGGAATAATCTGGCGGATGTGCACTTTTTTCCTTTTCTGCCATAGCTGCCATAGCGGCATTTTGTTCTTGCTTTTCCTTCCAACATCTGAGAATCCGTTCGTCTTCTTCAGACAATGCCTGCATAGTACCAAACGCAATTTTGTTTAATTTGTTCTGTCGATTTAATTAATCGTTATCAACTTAATTAAACATTTTAATTCTTATTCATTTATAGTATAAAGTATTTGCAATAACCTCTTGAGATAAAAAATAGACTTGTATTCTATTTACCGGAATTAAAGAAATAACATCAAAGTATTGATTTAGCTAATGGAAATACTAGATAAAAAGGGGAAGGATACAGGATTTCTTACATATTTTAAAAATAAGTATGTACCTTTTTACATCTAGTTTTATGTTGAGTCCAATCTTGTCTCTGACATTCGGCCGAGCAATAAAAAGTCTCCTTGCATCTCGAACACGTCTTTAAACACCCAGATATTTTGCAAAACCCACATTGATTTCGGATAGATTCTCCTTTAGTTGCGTTATTTGATTTGCAATCGTTACTCGATTGGGTTTCATCTAATATATTTGTAGCGCTTGTATCATTTTCAATGTTATTTAGAACAGTCCTATGACTTTTACATTCCTCTGATTGACAATCCTTTTTATTATCGCTATTTTCTTTTAAAATATCATCAATAGGTATTGTACGAACACCTTGTGTTTTCAAAGAACTCATTTCTTTATCTTTTTTTAATTGTATCTCATCAGTATCAGGTGACAGACTAAGACTTTCAACCATATCACTTTCAGAACATCCTGTTTTTTCATGATTGCCCTTTTTCGCACTGGTTACATGGTCTTTCCGCACTGTAACATCAAGTTCCTGTTTAACTCCCTGAGAAGTCAAATTTGCGTTCGTTTCGCTTTCATTATAACTATGTTTAAAACAGCCTACTTTGTGACTTGGCCAGTCTAACGTCTGACATATTTTAGTGCAGTAGCTCACCTTTAGGCAGCGACTACATCGATTTGAACTTATTCTATCACAATACTTGCACCTTAGCACATAAACCGACATCCTAAAAATATGAAATAATTTGCTTCTTTTACATGTTTTACATTCTTTTCGAAAATAGTTAAAAACGAAAGAAGAATTTTCGGAAAATCCAAAGGAGATTTGACTGGTTAACAGGCGTATTAACTGATAAATAACGAAAAGATATATATTGATTTGTAAAAGTTTATGTGGTTGCAATGCTATACATCACTTCATATTCATTTGGCTTGTTTGTTATACATTTGAAATATTTATATAATTTTACAGAGCAGACGAATTAATGTGCAATCAAATCATTATAATAATTGATGAAGTATAGAAAATGATTTTTCTTTTGAATCAAAACAGATTTCAACTTGATATTAAACTTGGCTTTATGAAATATCATAAGAAGGTATTTTGTACCATCGTTCATGTAATAAATTGTTTTTCATAATTACAAAAAAAACATTTCAATTAACTCTTCAATTCATGCGTAAATCCTGTGTCTGTGTTCTAGTTATTAAGTTATTATCGATGTTCATCGTACAAAAAAGACATGAACTTTGGATGAAATTACATAACCTTATATAATACTATCTCTAGTATAAAAGATGTTGTTTATTATGCCAGTTCAACTATGGTAACAGGTAATTGTAGTCTGCCTTAAATGTGTTGTGACTGGCTGCCCTTTCAGGATGATACTGTCTTTACGAAGAATGAAATAATCAAAGTTATAGCAAGGCTAGAGGGATCGGGGGACTGCAAGAATAATTGTTAAAAAGTAGTTTTACTATAATATTAATATGTTATATCATATATATTAACAATGTGTTTGCCATATGACAGAGGAACACTTTGGGGAATCATAACGCAAAATGTTTGTATACAAAGCCTCTGATGAAATCGCTATTGACAACGGAATCATATGTATCAGCGAACAGACAAAGCATTGTCAAAAGAATTGAATGGAAAGTAAAAATACTACATCTTCAACATCGTAGCTTCAAATATGAGTTGTTGGCGAAACAGCATAAATGAAATGAAAGATACATCCTTATAAATTTGACAATTTATTGATTCTACTTGTTCAGTTTTGAATTTCATTTAAAACTATCAGTGACAAATTATGGCATGCTCCCAGTATAGTTTTTAAGGCTACAAAAACATACTGACTCAACTTGACATTTCTTTTCAAGTTTTGCGATGGTTTTCCAAACATGGTATCTACCTAAAATACGCATGAAACATAAGGGTAATGCACATACATAAATGCCGGGTACCTAGCGTTCTTTAACCTTTGGCAGATAATCCGGACAAAACACACAACAGAATACCAATAAAAGGCTCTATTTTTCCAATATACCACATAAAATAAAACATTTCAACATCTTCTTTTAAACATTCCTATCTCATCTTACAGAAGAAAATTGTTACAAATTGTTTCGCCACAGTTACACCATATTTAGATATTTTTGTAAGGACTGGAGCAGAAAGTGAATCCGAAAATGACGTGGAACTTTAAGAGAACGGTAACAAATTGTTTTATATACAGTTCTCTCCGTTCTTGACCGAATAAGTACACAATACGTAAAGGTCGTCGAATTCAAATCACTTGCCACAAACCACTGTGTCTTCGATTCTAGTCAGTTTTCATGGGTCTATCTGGTGCCGATTGGCTTATTGCAAAAAGGGGGCCACCTGAGGTTTTCTCCAAAAAGTAAAGCTAAAAATCGCCAAGACTTTACATGTCGGTTTTAAATTTAAATCCAAAAAAACAACAACATAAAAATTTGTAATGTAATAATTCAACCCGACAAGGGGTTTCGATATCTAAAACAAAAGTATTCAAACAAATTTCTGGTAAAAAATATTTATTAAAAAAATCAAAAAATGTTCAAGTTTCCTTTCGTAAATTAAAAAAAAACCGTTTTAAAACAAATTTTTTTTTTCAAAAAAAGACGTTTACACATGGTTTTATGTTATTTTTATTTTGCAACAAATAAAATTTAATAATTTATGTGCATGTATATAATTCAACATATGACAAAGTAACGATATTTGCTTTGTATTCAGAACAAAGTAATCTGTATAAATAAATATATAGATAAATGTACTTTCGTAGAGTTAAACAAAAACATCGAGTATGGTTTAGATGTATAATTTTTGTCACGCAAAAATGACGCCATTTAAGATATGACCTTATTTTTGTTTTCTTTTGCAACCAAATTGACTAGTATAAAATTGCTTTATATTTTGCCGTCTTTCACATTATTATCAATATTTGATTTGAATTTGTATTTATCTATATATCTGCTAGGTTGACGAGATTGTCTATTTCTACCCTGGTCTAGTTTCTTTTGCTCTATTATGTGTATAGACTACAATTACATTAATTCCTAATATATTTGTTTTATTTTAACGAACCTTAAATAAACCACGGAACCTGCACTCTTCTTTTTTCGACAATTTTTGTCACGTGAGATAGTGTTTTTCACTTCTTCAAATACAACATTATTTAAAAGAGGGAAAATACAACAAATAATCAATACAATAAATGATACATGCTAGTTACAGAGTCTGTAATTCTTCACATAATTTTAATACACATGTATTTAAGACATCTAAAGAACTTAATCAGCATTCTCCGTAAGCTTTTGGTTATTCTTTTACATAAGCAAAATATCATTTTTGTTGTTTCGTGTTAGTCTGTAAATCAAGAATTTTAACTTGGTCTGGGTGGTCAATGCGAAATCCAACAGAACCATCTCGGAATAGGTGCTTGGCTGCATTAAGGATACATATGTAACCACCGGGCTTCACTTGAGAGTAACTGAAGAATGGCGACGGGTCGTCATTATCAAGGTGAAATTCCACCTTACTTTTATTGTCACAGTCGTCCTAGAAAGAAAAGACGACATATATATGCACATACAAAATTATCTTACTTTGAAAATTATAGCATTTTAACTTATCTATATACATGTAGAAGTTTCTTTATAAAAGATGGTGGTTTTATGTCATCGAAATAAAGGGAGTTAACATTAATAAGGCGACAAATAATGGTTTTGGTGACGACTATGATTTCTTTGTTGTTACTTTTACAATTGTTGTTACATTGTATTTTCATTGCTTATTTATTTACTGTGCATTTTGGTCAATATGAGATTATTTAAATATATATCTTAATTTCCTAATATACCAAATACAGCCTTCATTTATATTGGTTGCCCAAAAAAGAAATTCGATATATTGTTATACCACATCTAGAAAAAGAATACATCTTAATATGGCATACCCTAAGATGGACACCATGCCGTATAACATCTTCGTGATATTCATACATATAAGCCACGAAAACCGTTTTCTCCTTCGGTGGCGTCGGCGCAAACGGAAAGAAGTTAAACACTGGCTGTGATGGGACGTAAATGATGTTTGTCACCAGTTTATGTGACGGAAATAATCGTGTCGCCATTTTGATCGCCTTGCGCAGAGAACCTTTCCGACAAGTGGCACTTATTTGTGACAGTTGTTGTGGAATAGTTGGGGGAGGTGCAGCTACGGATTTCGAGCTGGATGGAATGATATCTTGTTGAAGTGATTCGGTTGTGTTTTGGTCCTCATCTTTCTCCTCATTTTCCTCGCCCGATATCTTTAAAAGCAAATCAGATTAAATCATTTAGATAAGCATGACATAAACATATGATGATAGTATGCAACCCTTTCTTTAAATATGCATGTCTATAGTATTAGTTATAGAATTAATTATGGAAATTGAGAACAAAGGTTATACAGTCCAATATAAAGGTCGTAAGTTTTTATTAGTGTGGTAGCTGGGTGGTTGTTTTATTCATTGTGTTGTTGTTGTTTTTGTTTTTTTTTTGTTGCTAGACGATGGTTATTATAAAAGCGCAATTTGCTGCAGCCGTGGAAATATTTAACATATATAATCGTCATTATTTCACACCAGCAAAAGAAATCTCTATCAGATACAATATATTATTAATCTAGTCTTGTTTCCATTTCAAAAGTCTAAAACCTTCATATCAAATCTAAAATCAACTCTCAAATATTTATATTTTATAATTGATTTCAAATCTAATCTAAATCAGACGAGGCATAAGCCGTGTCTAATACATGTTTTGCAGCTGTGTACGAGTTCAACAGAATCAGTGTTGTTCTCAACAACGTATGATGGCCTTTTTAATACACATTTACGACATTTGATATAGATAGTGTGAACTCTGAAAATGAAAACGAACCTATTTGCATTGTTGAGACCAATACTGATTCTATTGGACTCGTACACGTGTAAAATCCTATATTAGACTCGGCTAGCGCATCCACCCCTACTTAACGCTGGTCTTTCACATTTTGGTGATCTGATTAAATGAGAGCCCTCGACACTTCCGTTGAAGTGCCCTCGGCCTAAACATAGCTGAAAAAAGGTAAACGCCGTTTCTAAAAGTACCCAATTTAAAAGAACATGCTTGTTTTGTTTTTCAAAATTCCAAGAATGCTATGCCACGTAGAAAGATATTCTCATCATTTTGGGTGCAATTTTGATACGAAATACGTCAAAATGACGTTGCTAGAACTTTTACCAAATATTAATTTGCTTACTTTCTATTACGTTGACATACATCATATGGTATAGCATTCTTCGATTATTGAAAAACTAATAATATTTTTCAAAAACGGATATTTTTAGAAACTGTTTACCATTTTAGTTTTGTTTTGGTCGATGTTCTTACAACTGAAGTATCGAATCGAAGGCTCTCATTTAAACAGTTTACCAAAATGTGAAAGAGCCACCTTTTAGTAGAGGTGGCCTCGTCAAATAGTTTTGACAGCTGTGTACTCGTCATTGAACACAACAATGTTTAATAAACCTCATAGTATTGATCACTACCAACTAGCAGTAGTGTTAGATATAAATTATCATAAACTATAAAATTCACATATCAAAACAAAATTTTAACAACACATGCGCTATCAATAATTATATAATTTTCTGCTGGTTTAAGCACACGTACATGAACTTGGTTTTTCCCAATATATATTTACTTGGGCTATTTTAGTTGTTTCGCTCATATTCATATATCGGGAAAACCCAGTGTGTACTAAATATAGCATATCGATAGATTTATAGTGAAATTGAAGTAGCAAAATATAAACAAATGACATCCACTCAAAATACTAACTACTTATTTCAAAGCATAAATGGTTCAACCAAATGGTTACCTATACAGAAATTGTAATAAATGAAAATAATAGCATTTTGAGGGCATATTAATATATGGGCCTTAAACAATTTAAGTATTTTGAGGGCATAATGGACCTTAAACAATATAAGTATTTTAATGGCATAATGGGCCTTAAACAATATAAGTTATCTCCATCTGCCTTAGAACAGAGGGTAGAGTAAATGACCATTTCAATGTTTTACTAAAATCTACTGAATAGTTTTGTATTATCAAAAACAATCGTTTTGTTGAAAAATGTATTAAAATGTTAAAAAAAAAACATTTTAAACAAAAGATAAATTACTATATATAATACATATACGAATAAAAACGATACGTAATTTATGATTTTACATTTGTACATAACAAGTACCATTGAATCACATGATTGTTTTCAAATATATAAATAATATACAAGTATCAATTAAGTGAAATATCATGCAATAAATAAAATTCTAAAACATCGTTCAGAAATATCTTTAAGTTTTCAGTATTCCATTTCATAAATTAATGCTTATAAATATCAATTGAACAGATGGTATAAAAATCGGAAAATTAAATACTCGTATATATCACTATCTTAGACAAATTTTACCTTTTTAATACGAAATAAATATCAATATCTAATATACTTTACCTTTTTGCAATTTGTCTTATGCGTTTGCCAGTCTTGTCTCTGACATTCTCTTGAACAATAATAGACTTTCATGCATCGTGAGCATTTCTTTGAGCTTCCTTTGGATGAGCATAAAGCACATATATGTCTTTTCGATTTTTCTACAACCTCTTCTGTGTGTAGGTCAGCTTCTTCCTCTGTTTTAGAATCATTACCACTGCTCTCACTATCTGATTTGTCTTCCGTTTCATTTTGAACTTCGTCCTCCTCATCATCATTGTATCCTGTCGAATCATATCCGCTGCTTTCGCCATTGTACTCTTTCCTCATTTTATGAAGAATGATCCCCACAGATCTGTTTTCGCCAGAGTTACCGTTTGCCTCATGATGCTCCTCAATCTTCCTCAGATTATTTAATAAACTAAATATACCACATAAACCTGATTCTGTGCGCTCTTTCGCTAGTTTAGCTTCATTTTCCTGTCGGCGACGTTCCTTAATGACAATGGCTTGGCATTTTTGCTTGTGATTTTTCCAATCAGAAGTCTGGCACAATTTTGTACAATACTGAACATGTTTACAACGGCCGCATATTTTCAAGTTCGAACCCTTTTTGTTACAATATTCACATCGAATAGCTCGATCACCCATTTTAATCTGTCACCTACCTATATTTCACAAAGATATAGAAACTGATAGTTGAAGCTATGCCAAATAATGGTAGCAACTGGGATTTTCAAAATTATATTTATAGTCACTGGGAACCCATTTAAAAGTTAACAATGAAGACAGAAGGTTCATGCTGATAAGAAATATGATAAGTGTCTGATAACCATATTTCGCCGCGAGGTAAAACAATTTTAAAACAATTTTAAAACAATCTTAAACAATATTAAATGTACAATTTAGAATTAAATCTCAAGCCACATCGATTGTGAACCCCAGTCTACCCAATTTGCCTCTGACCCTGAAAAATAATGAAACATAAATTTATCTTATTTATCTTATTTATTTTTTTATTTTTATTTATTTATCAATTTTATTTATTTATTTATTTATTTTGTTATTTGTTGTTGTTTTTTCTTCTTTTCAATTCTTATGATAGTACAGTAGATCTATCATAATGCCTAGTAATAACCAAACAAAATTTCATTAGATCTACGTTTAAAAATATTTTAATCGTTTTACAGTTTACATAAGGGTCGAAAATAATGTAAATAAAACTAACCTACATGCATTTGAAGTATTTCAGTCGACACGTGTACTTTTTCCTGGTGTCAATTAGTCCAACGATACAGTCTTCTAATAAGTAAACGTGTCACTTTCCGATCGTACGTGTATTCTTTATGCTATGTGCCTTAAATAAAAGCTTCCTCATTAAAATATTAATGTTTTATTTGTTTGTTTACTACTTGTGTCTTGCTGGTTCCCCTACCTTTGTAGCGCACGATAGAGCATTTAACTTTTCGCAAGGAAACAGAAACGTATACGGTAGGATGAAATTCCCAATATCCGGGATCCAGGACGCCGTTGATTCGGGATAGTATTATGTACGGTAGAACTGTGAAATAGTTCTTTATACTTTATAGTACTTAAAACTTAAAATGGTCATATTTTAAGTTTGTATCTGTTGCATTTGTGTGATATCATGTGACTGTTTCATAGTTGGAACAGGATTTTTGTGTTATATTTAAATATATTAAATTTTGCCATGAGTTGAAGTTAAAAGTTTTTTAAAAAATAGCGTTTCTTGTTGATGTTTTTGTTGTTGTTGAAATATTTACCACAGAAGGTCTTACTAATTTAGGTACATACGAGATCAATAAAGTATAATTTAAAAAAAAAAATTTAATTAATATTAACTAAAGAACACAAATAACAAGGTTTATCAAGAGACGAAGATCCGAATTAAAATGACACAGTTAGAGATCATAAATCATTTATTTAAAAGGTTTGGGGCCAAATATATAATTATGTCTGTTTCCCCTTCCCGACCCATTAAAATTACGTTGGGTACGTAGGTAGGTATGATTTTTTTTATGTGCATAATAATAAATAATCTGCATAAATGTATAATGAACTATTAAAATTAATTTATTAAGTGCAATAGTTTATGTACATGCATTACCATATTCAAAACTGACATGTGCAACAATTTATTAATTATAATCTGAAAAAAATCTTTTGGGTAGTGGCAAATTTGTTGGGTAACAAAGCGAAAGGGAAACAAATTAAATTTAAATTTTAGGCCTGGGAATAATAAAGATATTCTCCTTCATAAGAATCAAAGAACAGTACATGTTAGCGTCAGTATATTGATATATCACAGGGCGAGAAAAACGTGCAGTTCGGCCGGGACTCAAACCCGGGACTCTCGGAATATCGTTCCGTGTGAGTACCGACTGAGCTTTCCGGCCGCCTACACATCCCCCAACCCCATAACAGATCTGAACCGTGACAAATTTTAGAAAAGTAGTGTCGTAGCGCCAAATAGAATACAATTTGAAAATGGATCGTATTATTGTTCCGTCGCACCGACTTACTATTTGTTACCATATACGAGTATAACGTGGTCTTGATTGCAATTTTGATGTTGACTACTTAACATTTTGTCCGATTTAGATTCAGAACTTCATTTACAATAAGCTAAATTTTTAAAGGGATTTTTGACTCTTAAAACGAAAAAAGTGACTATTAGATGGTGTGCAATATAGATGTGTTATATGCACCTTTTGGACTCTAGAAATGAAAACGAGGCTATATGGGATATGCATCTTAAATCAAATATAGTTTCTTACTTTAGATGAATAACTAATTTAATTAAAGTGGCACATGTTCGACAACACTGATCACTGATTAACGTTCATTAAATTATCTTCAGAATATTGCGATTACCGATAAGATCTTTATTTCGCCCAAAATAAGAATTACCTGTATTATTGAGTGTACATATACATTACGAATCCATTTAAAATTCATTCAACCTATAACATATAATCTGTTATCTTATTTTTCATGTGAAGTGCAGATGGGGATAATGTTCTAATTCACCATACAACATAATTTATACAATGTATACTTTTTCTGCAATGTGACATTTTCCGAAGAAAAACAGTGTGTATTTTTTATATGTATATAAAATTAGGAGATTTTCGAAACCCCACACTTCACAAGTGTAACAATAGGTAAAACTATTTGGCCGAAAAGCTTAAGTTGAAGATCAGTAGAGAAAACACTCTACTATACAAAAGATGCAAAGCATTATTTGCCTGAGAGGCGAGCGATTTTCTAGCACTAAGAAAACATTCCAACGATAAAAATACCACTCCTAAATATTTATTCTCTTTAACAGAAAGTAGAGCTCAATGAGAAGGATTTTTTTTTTGTCATGAAAGTATAATGTAAACATGCAAAAATACTAAATTACTATATCTCTACTAATTGCTAACAAGCAACAGAAACAATAGATGGTTATGAGTTACTTTTTAGAAAGACAGAACAGAACACTACTAATAGAAACTAATAAAAAGAGGCTTTTTTGTAAGGTAAAGTTTGTTTAGTGTTTTCAGAATAAATACGATATATATGGCTGTATAGTGACTGTATTTATTAAATTGTATTATTCATTCAACATGTGGCGCACAATTGCAACGCACTAAATAATTCAACATTACTGCTTATAAAAGCGAATAAAGCTATAATTATATTTAGTTTAAACAAGAATTTGTAACAGAGTTGCCAACGACCCCCGCCTCGGGAAGCATAAAAATGTGCCACTTTTAAGATAACGTCTTATTATTGTAACTATTTGTGCCAAGTATTTTCAAAATCTCTTGAACTATGAAGAAGTTATAGATCATCGGACACAAAATATACCCTATTACAGACTATGTTAATCTTTGACCCCTAAGTGTGACCTTAGAGGTAGAGACCCATGTTTTGCGCCTGACATATCGTCTTATCATTGTGATTATTTGTGCAAAGTATTTTTTTTTAAATCCGTTGATCTATGAAAATGTTATGGACTGGACACAAAATATACCCTATAACAGACTATGTAAATCTTTGACCTCTAAGTGTGACATTGACCTTGGAGGTAGCGACACAGGTGTTACGCATGACATATCATCTTATCATTGTTACTATTTGTGCAAAGTATTTTAAAATCTCTTGATCTATGAAGAAGTTATGGACGGGACACAAAATATACCATATAACAGACTCTGTTAACCTATGAAACTCTAAGTGTGACCTTGACCTTGGAGGTAGGGGTGCAGGTGTTGTACTTGACATATCGTCTTATTATTGTGACTATTTGTGCCAAGTTATTTCAAAATCCCCTGAACTATGAAGAAGTTCTAGATCGGACACAAAATATACCCTATAACAGACTATGTTAATTTTTGACCTCTAAGTGTGACCTTGAACTTGGAGGTAGGGATGCAGGTGTTGCGCATGACACATCGTCTTATTATAGTGACTACTTGTGGCAAGTATGTCAATGTCCTTTGATCTATGAAAAAGTTATGGATCGGACAAAAATATACCCTATAACAGACTATGTTAATCTCTGACCTCCAATTGTGACATTGACCTTAGAGGTAGGTGACCGGTTGTTGCGCATGACACATCGTCTCATTATTGTGAACAATTGTGGCAAGTTTTTACAAAATCCCTTCAAAACAAGAAAGTTATGGACCGGACACGACATTTATCCTCAAAAAGACATATTGACCTTGAATTAGCAAGTGCGACCTTGACCCTGGAGGTATGGGTTTGGTTGTTGCGCATGACACATCGTCTTACTATAACAAAAATGTGTGCCAAGTTATTTTAAATTCCTTTGATAAATGACAAAGTTATGGACCGGACACAAAAAGTGTGACGGACGGACGGGTCGACGTGCCAACATTTTTGGGTTTATGTGCTTTTTCTTTTATCTTTTTGTGGCATTTTTCCCCATAAACCAGTAAAATTACTAATTAAACCAGTCGGTTTATGGGATTTCCTTCTTTCTTTAACTAAACTTATGGACGGAATGAAGCTCAAAGACCATTGGATGTTCGCCCGGACAGACGGACGGACGGACAGACGGACGGAGCCTATTTCTATATTTCCCTTTTTTCTTCAAAAAGACGGGGGACAACAATATTTTATTTATAAACCATTTCATTTCATGATAATTGACAAGAAATAACTTGTACGGATTGAGTAGGAAGCTTGAAAAGCTTATTATTAAGCTATATATTTGCTGCATATGGATTGAAAATATGTTTATATTGTAATTAAAATAATGGCAGTATTTCAAAAGTAAAAGAAATGTGTGAGTATATTTTATTGTAAGTGTGCTGTGCATGCGTGAAATTATCGCCATAGCTACTAAATTTTGTTCATTCTGTTTACGCTAAAATATGACATAGAAGTTCATGGACACATCCTACTGCGTAAAAACATAAGATAACACATGTTTGGAGTTGAAAACTGTTCATTTAGTAACAACAATGAGAATATATTTTTATATCAGTTGCAAATCTAATCAATACAAGTTAACTTTTTAGACCAATATTTTTTTACAAATCTGGGTCAAATTTTTTAACTAATAACATTACTAAACACTGTCAACGAAAACAAATCTTGAAACACTAAAATACCATACATCCTAAACAAACAAAAATAGCATAAACCTATAACAAATTGTATAAACAGTTATCAAAAAAAAGCGCCAATAATATTTTATTGCATAATTATATAAATATACATCAATTCTTTTACATCAACAAAATTACACAATATACAAAAGTGTTGGACCAAAAGTTTTTACAAGATTATCGTGGGCCCTTCCCTGTAAATGTTTAGCATCAGTTTCATAAAGTAAAGATAGTTACACATCAAAGTAAATATGCATTAAGTAAAGAAAAAAAGAAAGAAAATGTTTAAGAAAAGTTGCTGTATTATGTAACAGTTGTGTGTCAACACTACCACCAACCAATTCCCCATACGAAGCAGATACATGTACCCATTTGTTGATTCTGAGAAAAAAATAACAAAAATGCTTGTTCTAGTTAATAAAAGTAAAAAACGAAATAGTGACGTTTATGTAAACATTTTGTTTCTTTGTGCAATAACAAACAACATTCATGTTTTAGATTTGGAAGTTTTCGAAACGTCAAACGAAATAAGTGATCATTTCGGAACCTACATTTTTTAAAATAAACCATTTAAAAAAAAGTATGGAACTACAATTAATAACACTGACTTTACTAAATTTAATACCCTTATAAGAATTTCGATTAGTCGTTCATTATCGATGAAAATATTGATATTGCATGTGAACTTTTTACAAAAACTTTTATAGATATTGCTAAACATTACATTCCTACATATATTGCGTTAGTTAGGCCTAAAGATAAACCTTGGTTTAATTCCGAAATTCGAATAACTTTGCGACTTAGGGATAGACAATTTCATAAAACATTGAATTCAAATAACATATATGCATGACTGGAATAAATACAAAAGAACAAGAAATAAGGTTAACAATATATATATAAAAAAAAATCATGCTAAAATCGTTTTCTATAACAATTTAGAATTTTCAATAGTAATATGATTCGCGCAAATATTGGAAAACGGCTAAATCTAAAAAAAAACAAAACACTACGGTTAGTTAACTTCAATCCAGCTAAAATTGTACGTACGTCAATCGAAATCGGCCATTTATACTTTAATAATTTTCAACCTAATTTTGTAGACCACCATGAACATGTAGGTGTCACATTTAGCCAAGACGATAACTGGCATGAGCTCATCTCAAATATCGTCTCATTTGCATCAAAAATACTAGCGCCTACACCTATAACTAATAACATTGATTAACACTGTCAACGATTACAAAACTTGAAACACTGAGATATCTATCATACATCCTAAACAAAAGAATAGCATACACCTATAACAAAGTATATAAACGGTTATCACAAAAAAGTATCGATTTTAAGCCACAAATAAGGAGGGTGGAACTGCGTAGAACAAATTTCTGTGTAAATTATCTGAGAAAGGGTGAGAAAACGCTAGAAAGTGGAAATTTAGAACAAACATTTCTATTGGCTAATGCTGCATAAATTGGTATAAGCCGATCATAGATTGGCTAATCCAAATAAGGATGCTGAATCTAACTATTAGTAACTAAAAAATAAAAAGAGAAGGAAAGATTAAAATAGCGAAAAGAGAAATATGTTAAGCATCAGGATCCAACAACAAAACTTATTTAATGATTTGATGCAAATAGTTTATGAAACGACCATATATAAGGTCATGGACAGTTTACTGTGTTTAATTGTTTTTTTATTTTTTTGTTGTTGTTGTTTTTTTGTTTTTTTTATAAAGTATTTCATCAGATATAGTATTACACACTTTAAGGCATGAAAATACAATGCATACAGCATGTACGTATTAGTAGAATAATCGAATAAAGAACAAATGTCAAATACTATACATGTTTACGCATACAATTTATGTCTTTCAAAATCATTAAAACGACGTTTTAACAACAACACGTACAGTTTTGTTACGTTTTCAAAATATTATTACATGTATAATTATTATCTTTTTTTTCAGAATCATTAATAACAGCAAGAATTTCGCGAGAAGTCAACAGAGAATGCCTTTATCTTGAATTTTAAAGAAGCTCCACTTGGGTAAAAATGCCTTAAAATATAAAAATTAAAATTCTTACAAGTGAACCACTTAAAATGGAAAAATCTACAAAGGATAACAAAGAAATATTACACCCAGAATAAGAATGAATATCTATTTGTTGTGCAATTCTTAGTCCGATTTCAGTGAAAATAACGTTTTTTTTTTTTATTTTTGTGTCATTGATAATAATTATGAAAATAATGGGGTGAGGGAATCATCTGAAAATTTGCATACAAGTTATTTGTGTAGTACAAAAATCCTAAGTGGAGTTCCTTTAATAGTGCATGTTTCTATTTTAACAGTAAAATCAAACAAAAGAAATCATGTCGTTTGTCTAATATCATTCCCATTCTAATGTTTATAAAATTTTAACTGCTCTCGGATTCTTTACACGAATTACTAATGTTCTATCACCGAGTAGGTGCAGTACAGGATTTAGCAGACATACATAAGCACCGGGTTCCACTTGGGAGTAGCTAAAGTGTGGCGCAGGATCATCTCCGATATGGTCAAGGTCAAACTCCACCTTACACCTATTGTCGCTTGCATCCTAGGAAAATATCAAAAGAATTACAATATATATCACAGTAAGATTTCACAAGAGAAAGTAATATTTACGGAGCGCAGCCACAAAAATATCTAGTAACTCAAACACACTAGAAAGACACCCTGTAGAGCACCGCACGGAAAAGATTAAGGCGGGAAAAAAGACTCAGTTTTTTCATAAGACATTAAGAAAGATTTTCAATGAAAAGCACGCGGAAAGACTATATGAATGTGATGCATAAGTTTAAATGCTAACATTGTCGTATTTTCTTTCATATGTGTGTAAAAATATAATGATAAAAAAATTAACGGTGGAATACTTATTTTGCTATCAAAATTACTTTTGAAAAGGTTTAACTTCCAACCCCCCAACCCCTCCCTCTTCCACAAATTATGCAGTGAAACTCTTTTAGTGCATAAAATAAACACAAAACATTTAATAATAGCCTATTTATGTAAAGAATTGTTAAAATATGATAAACAAGGTCAACTAGGAAAGGCAGCATTCAATATTAACGCAGCCCCTACACAACCCAGCAACCCCCACACGACCCATCAACAAGAGCCAGTGGCAAGGAGCCCAGGAGGACCCAAACAAAAACAGGATAGGGTATAAGGAAGAGCATGGTCAGGTCAACCACTAAAATCATACATACGAAGAAATTATTAGTAACTGATAAGGAACTCAAAGAAAACAATTAAATTATTGATTAATAGGCCCATAAAGTCAAAGGGCACATGGGAAGGGAACAGGAGACCGGAGACGGGGGGATAATTAAAATAAAAACTAGGGGCAAAGGGAAAGATACTTACCGTAAACGAGAAAACAACAAGGGACACAAAAGTGTCACCAAAACAGTAAGAAACAACAAAGACATACATCTGAGGAACACAGAGGGGCGCCGCCTTGGAACAGTCAGCAGCTTTAATACTGCTGGGGAGCCTGAATGTTTAAATGACTGAAAAGCTCTCTAAAAATCAGATAAAGTACATTTCGTTATCTCGATATTTTTGGACGGTCCCGATGACTTCGAGATAACGAGAGTCGACTGTATACCAAGTTATGTAAAAATGTTGGAAATATATATTATGTACCAACCTTAATATAAACACCATGTCTCATCACATCGTCGTGGAATCTGTATATAAAAGCCAGTAACACGACTCTAGAAGGCTGCATCAAAAATAGAAAAAATGGTAACGGGACATCAGGGACATCATCAAAGTCAATTATGATGTCATACCAGGGGAATAAAATTCTTGTCAAACACAATGCCGTGTCGAATGACCCCACTGGTCGGGCGCAATTATCAGAGCTTGTTTCAGTGGAAGCGTCTGGTACATTCTGTCCAGCGAACTATCGAAGCTGTCCTCAGAATCATCAATTATAATGTTGTTCAAGCCATCAGTTTCCTCAGTAACCTCCTTACATCTTCTTTTGTAATCTCTTCGTTGCCTCGTTTTCTCCTCGTATATTTTGTAAATTTCTTGTTCTTCTTCTGTAAGTCTCTACGGAAAATTTTAATCAAAAGTAATCCGAAACAACTCTATACACAAGAAGTATAAAATGCCACAATAAGATTAAAATTGTCCCTCATTGTCATAATCTTAATAATTTATTATACATTTTTAAGCATCGCATACACCTTTTGCGGTATAAAATTCTGTCAACAGATACAGTTCACTTAACAAAAATCATGTTATGATTTCGGTACTTTGTTTCAATATGTTCTATCCCTATGTTATATAATTTTATAACAAATATATTACTACATGTAGATAGATATTTCAAATCACACATTTTGTTATCCTGTAATATATCTTATCTTTTGATGTATCTAGCTATATAGTTTGCAAGTTTATTTAAATATCTCAGTACATAGATATTTATACAAAAACGCGAGAAAAGGAATCCACAATAAATATAATACCATGCCTAAAGTGGGCAACTTTCATTTTAACAAATAAATCGTGTACACATGATAATAAACAATAACCTACCTGCACACATATTTCTTTGTGAACGGACCAATCTTTTCGTTGACATTCTTTGGAACAGTAAAATGTACCCTTGCAACGGTTACACAATTTTGTGCAGTTAGGCTTTGCACAATCACCGCACTTGTTTTTATCTTCCTTATCTTTGCCTTTTACTGGTTGAATGGAATCGTTGGCGTTAGTCACTTCTAGGGAAATTTTCTTAACTTGATCTATCATGGTAGAATTTGCAACCTCTGTAGCTGACGGGTTATAATTATGGTCACTATGTTTTACAATGTGGCTAGAATGACCACTAGGAAACGCCTGTCCGACCGAATCCCCAGCAGCATTTTCCGACTCGGAGACAGGTTTATGAAATTTTCTTTCAATTTTACTTTCACATTCTTGACTTTCTCCACCTCTTTCGTTTAACGTTTCGGTATATCCGCCATCATCCTTTCCAATACTTTTTTGTTTATTTTCGTTGGTATTTTTCCCTCTGCCTTTACCGGACTTTTTCTTCGACTTAGCTCCCTTTTGCTTGTTTAAAACAGTTTTACTTTTTCTTTTGTTATCCGACAATCTTTTATTATTGCAGCTTTCCTTACAAAATATTAATTTACCTTTTTTTTCAAAATTGCGTAATTTTGAATCAACTCTTTGGCAAAAGCAACATCTAAATAACGTTGCCATCTTTGATGGTTAATGATACCTCAAACATTATGAAGGGTTTATATTATAATGGGCTGATATCACTTTTTAAAAAAACAGTTTTCAGGAAATATACTTTATATACATATGTATATAATATATCAGGGTGAAAGGATAATGATTAATCTATAAAACAACATAGATAGTTATATTTTAGAAAATAAATTAGACACAGTAAAGCATGTTTAAAATTATCAAAAATAGTTTATCACTATAATTATGAATTGTGATAATGGGCATTGTTTAATTCAAACTGAACACGACATCACGATAATTTTTGACTACCTATAAATTTAGTGATATGTATACGTTTTTTAAAAAGATTGAACTGGTGTGCCTAGTTCCAGCTGACCTTTTCTCCCCATATGACACACACTAATTAAAGAACATAAAGTGTGCAGATCTTCTATTATTAAAAAAGTATACTATATATGATCACGGCTGTAATGAAAGCCGTGATATCATGTAATATACACGTACTGGGCAGCATTTCATTCGTATATAGGTTAGAAATAACTTTAAAAGAAATACTTAAATATACATGCTGTACGTTATGTACACTATTATTAAAGAGGTTAGTATAGGCCTACAAGGTAAGTCACTGACATATGGTGTTTTTGAAAGTAGGTCTTCATGTATCGGTAGTAAATAAATCTAAGTTCTGAATAAAGTTTTTAATGAGTTTGGGTCGAAAAAGTTTGGCGATTCAACACCGCATGGAACTCGTTAGATTCGCTGTATTTGTTCGATTAATGTTTGGGACAAGGCGAATATCGGGAGTAACATAATAATCAAGCGAACCATAAAAAGATGCTGGGCGCAGCAGAGAAACTAATTATTTATTCATTTTAGTCCGTTTTAAGGTTTTGAAGTCATATTTTAGCACAAAAGTAAGTTCTTTTATATCTATTATATTTGAATTGATTCAGAGTCAACTCGTCCCCTGGTCAACTCGTCCTCTGGTCAACTCGTCACCTGTTTGGTCAACTCGTCCCTTGGACAACTCGTCCCCTGGTCAACTCGCCCCCTACTCGTCCCCTATATTTTATTATTATTTGTTTTTCATATATTCCATAAATTATTATAGACTGTTAAAATATATTATAAAATGACTGAATTGGACACATTTTGCCGCTTTTTTGTATGCGAATATTTGGAGTTTTTTTTATCTAATAATAAGTATATCTATGCATAATAATGATTAAATTACAAAAAGAAAAAAAACACGAAGACGATCAATAGCAACAACATTTAATGTATAAAAACATGTTTCATGTGCAATGATAAAATATCATATATTATGTCTTTTTTGTCAATATTATGTCATATATATTCACTTTCACTTTCATTGTTTTTTTGCATGCACATATTTCATTGTCTATTTTTTTCAGCCTTCCCATTCAGTCTTCTATGCCATCCTATAAAATAATAGAAGTATATTACAATACCAATAAGATAGGCACTGGTCAACTATAATAGATATATATATCTTTTTAAAGCGGTGATGTATGAATCCATGAATGCATTTCTCAAATTCGCTACAATTTTGTCTAAGACATATTTATTTATGTATGAGCAGTATGACTGATACCGTGTATACAGTCTAAAAATCAAAGAGTTGGACCTAATTTCAGATTTTAGTTTTAATTAACATTAAAAATCCGATTGATTAAACATTAATTGAATGTTAGCAAACTTACCTGTCTTTGTAGTTTTACATCAAAGCTATGCACATGCGCTTAGATAAAGATCATTAAAATTTTACGTAAAAAAGACGCTATTTTATTAATGTTTCGATATCAATCAAATTCATTATTAATTTTACATAAAAGAACTATTTAAAGACATTGATTAACAAGATAATAGTGACGAATAGATCGAAAGTAGGGGACGAGTTGACCATATCAGGGACGAGTTGACTCTTTGAGGACGAGTTGACTAAAAGTAGGGGACGAGTTGACCAAAAAGGTGACGAGTTGACCAGAGGACGAGTTGACCAGGGGACGAGTTGACCGGATTGCTTTGAATTTTGTTATGTACTTGAACAGAGAGTCAGGCTTTTAATGTTAACATTTTTCTGACCCGTCTATTTTGGACACACCTGTTGCAGATGTGTTATAAATAGATCTATTTGTTTTACTTCATTTTTTGTTGTAATATAAATGAATGGCCACCATATGCGCTTAAAGCTCTGATAAGATTGAGGTTGTCTCTTGATTTTGGGAAGAAATACCACTAAAAGTTGCTAATTTTGGGTTGTGAAAAGCTGGTTAACTTGTCAGTTTAGATAATAATTTTTTTTGGAAAAATTGCATAATATCAAATAATAGATCTACATGTATAAACTATAATGACTTGTTGCATCCCAGAACGACAGACCAGACTATTAGGTATGACAACCTGTGTGTCGGCCAGTGTTGCAGCTAGGCCACGCGATTCACACTTATTTTTTGCAGATCTCGCATAATTTCATTGAAATTAATGAAATCCAAGTAGCGCATAAGTCGATCTTTTCAACTTAATTCAATTAATCTTCATCGTATCTTGAATACTTCTGCCATGTTTGTTTTCACTCGCAGTAATGACTAAAATACATGTACATACTAAATAAAAAAAAGTAGTAAATTGCGTGTAGCAGGAAACTGTGTCATCTCTTGTGTGTATTGACCGTTTGATCTGGGCACTTTACTAGTATGCCTAAGCTTAAAATAAATGAATTATTTTCGGTATGTCAGTCAACATCTGAACAAGTTGAAAGTAAAAGGGTCTTGTAAATAATCGTAACCAGTCCAATCGGCTGTCGCTATAGAGCCAAAAAGAAGAAAGCCGGTAACTTTAAAAAGTGAAGGCTTAATGACTGCTCACATTTATTTCAAATCGCCCAAATTTTTCAGTTGAGTGGGGGACAATCCCCCATATTAAATTTTGAAATTCTTGATGCAACACTGTTTTCCATTTGAATTTCCAGCGACTTCCCACTCTTCTATCAATGTCAGTATGTCTGTTATTTTGAACCCAGCAAGGATAAAAATGTTCAGCTGTAATAATTTATATATCAATGATTGTGTGAAATTCACCCATTTTTGTTGATTTATAGATTATACCCAAATAAACCAAAAGTTTCAGTCAATTCATTAATGATGTGTTGTACAAAATTTGATAGTAATAGAGAACTACTATTTAGACAAATTGAAATATCAAATAAGAACTTTTGTATGTTGAATAATACGCAGAAATTTGTTTGGTTAATGTCCTCGGAAGACCCAGAGTCTTGAATGTCTTTTCTAAATACCTACTCGAAATTTATAATAAAAGAAATCTTATGTTAGGTAGTACTATTAGTAATAAAAATTTGTCAGACCATTGAATGTATATTATTGTACTTGAATATCGAATGAGTAATTAGTGTTTTTTTTTTTTTTTTTTTTTTTTAATACTGTTTTATTATTTACTTCTTATTTTAACATTACTATGCCTGTGTTATTTGTTTTTCCAATAATACGAATTAAGCTTTAGTTACTTTATTGTCTTCATTTCTACCATACAATACACAATTTGTTGGTTGATATATTTTGTTTCATGCCTTATGTTTTATGCTTGTGATTATATATGTCATATAGTATGACCCTTGATTGGTGAAATAAAATTATTCTATTCTTAATGATTACTGTATTTAGTTCAGGGATAACAGAGTGTAAAATACTAGAACTGTGCCTTATTAGCATCATTTCTTTTATTAGGAAAAATATTGGAGAAACAATAAATGTTTTGGAAGCCTTAATGTCAGTGAATTCAAGAATAATGTATGAAATTGAGAACAGTAAATGTATTGATAAGTATTTGACACAAATTGCTTTTAAGTCATAAAGTAGTACGCAAATCTTTTGTTGAGAATATTATGTTAATTTGTCATGTTGCAGACTCTGATAAGTTTGTAATTAAGGATGTAATTATGCAAATGACTGTAGAAAGGATTCCATGATCAATCACAACAAAAGTGACCTGCGTCGTCTGGGAATCAAACCCATGTGGCCCGATTCACAGTCAATCACTCTACCTATAGAGCTAAGCAGATGGTTTCATATTATGATTCATACAGATTTATCTGATATCAATTTGAGTTAGAATTAAGAATGCAGTAGTTGTTGACAATTACCTCCTTTGATTATTGATTCTGAAAAAGCTATACCATACCTTATTGGCTTAAGAAACAGATTACTGGGGTCCACTATGGTAATCTATTCAATGGTATACCATCAAATGGTTAACCCTTACTTAGGAGTTTTATATAAGTGAACATTAAAGCTATATTATCATAATCAGCATCAAAACTAGATATATACATATATATTCTATTTATTCACATTTTCCACAATATTTTCAACACTCACTCAGGGTCACCGTACATAGTAATTACTGTAGTAGAAAAGAGTAATTTAAAACAACAAATTAGCCCTTAAATAAAGGAGACTATACTTCACTTTTCTATGAAGGGTATAGTTTTAAAGCTCAGCTTCAGTTGTATAAATTGAGTCATTCTCTTACACTCTAGACAAGGATGTTGATATTTTCTTAAGAAAATGTGTCACCTATGTGACATGTTCATGCAGTAAAGTAGTAATTTTTGTTGACAGATTATAGCGATAATAAGTGTGTATTTGACTTAAATTAATAACCCTCAGGGTATAGACTTTCACTGGATAAAATATGTACAAGTGGGCAAATTGATTTTTTGTTTTGATAAATGATTTTTCCCCGATACTTTACTTTACACGGTGTGTGTTTTAAGCTATCCATACAGTTGTAAGCGTTCTCCGCTGTATTTGAAACACTATTTTGCTTGTGCATTCTTCAACAGTTCATAAAATTGTGAGTTTTGGTTTGCTTAAAAATTCAACATTTTAATAGTTATTGGATTTCAAACGGAGTATTAAAGGTGGAGTTGGAGCTCAATATAGTATGTAGTGATTTAAATAGTACATCATCACTAGTACATGTATATAAAAAAACTATATTGTTTACTTCCTGTTTTAGATTATAAGTTCAGTATTGATAATGATATGAAGGTTATAATATAAGTGAATAGATAAATGTAACAGTATTGTTACAAGTTTAGTGTGTTTTCATCTACATGTAAGCCATTAATTGTTATTGTTTATTATTGAACAATAATATGGTCATGTGAACAATAGAAATACATTTGTAACATGATAAATATGATTAAAACAGATTTTTCAAAATTGTCAAAATCATACTTTCAATTAAATAGATAGATCTACATTATGTTAAATTAAGGCCAAATAGTGGTATCTTCCAAAGTGCAGGGTTAAGTGTTGAAATTCCTGTATATTTACTATTATTTAGTAATTTAATCTTGAAAATTGTCAAAAAGTGTGAATTTCTATTGCAACCAGTAGATCGAGTTCAATTCTTTGGGCAAACATGGCTTAAATGAAACATTATTTAACTGTATCATGTAACATGTAGAAGAGAAAAAAATGTTGTTTTTATTATTATTATTTTGCCAACGCTCACTACATGTATGCTAATATGTCTCAATTTTAAAACAGTAAAAACTAAAAAGTAAAAATTAAGATCACTGTGACATCCAGTGTTGCATCTAGGCCGCACGATTGCGCGATTTGCGCATTTTTTATGCAGATCGCGCCTTTTAATGAAGTCAGTGCGTGCCAAGTCGCGCATCTGACAATCTTTTCAACTTAATTCAGTTTATCTTCATCGTGTCTTAAACGCTTCAGCCATGTTTTCTGTCGTGGTTATGACTAAAATACGTACTAAATCGCGTGTAGCAGCCGACTAAGTCATCTCGCGTGTGTTTTGTAGTATTCGTCAATATTTTATTTTTTCTACTTCCGTTTTTGAGCGGACGATAGCTGTCAAAAATGCATGAATGTAAAATAAATGAATTCTATTCGGTATGTCATATTGTAAGCTATATGTATGTCCCCCACATTTTTTTTCAAATCCCCCACATTTTTCAATTGAGTGGGGGACTATCCCCCATAATTTTGAAATTCTAGATGCAACACTGGACATCCACTAATAGTAATATTGCTTTTATGAAATTACAACTAAAATAAATATACAGGATGTCACAATCGGATTGGGAATGTCCATAGAAAACTTGAACTCTCCACATTTATATTTTCTTCTAAAGGGACGTCCTTTGCTAAATAGTTCATATCCTGCTAGGGACTTTGAATTCTTTTTATGTGAGGTAGCTATAATCCAGAACCTGTCTGTTTTGATGCCCGCTTGTGCCTGAAATAATGCTGAGGTCTTCCTCTTCCACCAGTAAAGCTAGAATCTTGTCATATGATCTTTACAGTGTCAGTCTGATTTAAACTCCATCTGGAAAAAAAAAAAAACTACTGCAAAAAATGCTATTTAGATTTAATTTTCTTACATCTTATCTTTAGTTTAAAGTTTACATATTAAAATCTCACATGTGCAGACCACTTGATTAAGTGATTAACTATTAAAATATTTCAGAATGCATTGATAAATGATTTTTATGACTCATCAAAGTTGTTTGATTTGTGCAATGGTTTTGACATTAATAGTTTCCAATTTGTTTTTATTGCAGATAAAATATTGTGATATAATGCTTTAGACATTGTGTAAATTGTGGATTAACAACCCATTTGATATTGATAGAGAGATAATATTAAAGATACAAGTGGCATGTAGGTTGCTTTGTAAATTTACTTTTGGGAAGTTTCTCCAGCTTATCTTTAAGTACTTGAGTGGTGGTTAGTGTATTTTCTTTGAGTATCCAGAGACTTAACATGAGATGATGACAACAAGTCTGTCTAATCCCTTAATAACTTGCTGAAATTGTGAAATGGACTTGTCTAGCTTTAATATTTGGAACATTCCATGATCAGTTTTGGGGGTGCATGTGTTTAAGTCTTGTGTTAAAATGAAAATATGAAGTTCATTTTGTCAACCTACAGTATAGAGCCTGGTCAGCCAGCATGGAGGTTGGATCCAGCAGTTAAACATCAGATTCTGTCAGTTACTACATAGCATAATTAGTGATTTGATATTGATCTATATATTGACTGAGGTTTATTAGAGAAGAATAACTTACTGGTTAGTTTTTGCTCATATGTCTGAATGCTTGAACATTAGAGGTTAATATTTTGCTTAAAACTAAATTAAAGTTTTATTTTAAAAAATGCATGTCAATTTGATAATTAAAAGTGAATCATTCATGTTATGGAGTATTCATCACCAGTAAACAATCATAATGTCTGTACATCTGAAGTTTATGTGATATGTTTATTACCTTGTAGTGTCAATGATTATTCATATTAATTTAAAAGGTAATAAAAAACAAAAACTTATTATAAATCAGTGGAAGATGAGGTTTATTTAAAGCTCATTTTGCAGTCAGCGTGAGCATTAATTTACATTGCAATTTAGACTTGTTCGCAATCTGTGAATTTAATCAGGGGATAAAAAAAACTTGGATAAATTGTTAATGCTAATCTGATTAACTTTTTAAACTGTTTTTGCAGTTGGGTTTTCAGTCAGACAGACATTGTATAAAAGGTGATACATGTATATAGAAACTCTTTTTGATCATTAAGGAAAACTTTGAAAAGCTTTTGAATATTTGTGAAAATTTATTTCCTGTTTAGATAATATTGTACCAGACATACAAGGAAGTTTGGTAAAAAGATTTTAATAGACATGTGCAAAAGTCCTTAAATCTCACTGTGACTCACAGTATCTCTTTCTGAAAGGTGATTTTTATCCATGCAGATTTTTATGAATGCAGATGCATGTACATGGCAATTTAAACAAGTGTGCAAATAAATAAATATAATGTACATTTATGGTAAATTTACAAATTGATACATTTTGTGTACCTTTACTATGGCTGATATGATAATGATGATTTTAATTGACTATACATGTACCGGTAATTGTTTAATGCAGACTGGATGCCACTCTAATGTAGACTCACTCACCAGACTCTACTGTTGGCTCACCTGGACTTTAGATTTTCATCTTGATATCCCTAAAAATGATTATGGTCAGTTCTGAACTGAAAGACAGACAGGTCCTAGAAATTCAGCTGGTTAAGGGCTAGATCAGTAGATGTTTTAAAAAATAAATCTGTTATTAAACTTTCAATAGGTCACCAAAATATACATCTGAAATTTTAAGCAAGAATAATTTGTACCATCCAGTTTATTGGAAATTTACAAACATCATGATTTTGATATATAGATTATTTTGATATGGTTTGTTCAAGATTTAAACAAATACTCTACCTATTAGAGCTTTGTACACGGTCACCCTTTCAAAATTAGAAAGTCGAAAAAAGTTTCTACCTTTCTATCATTTATCTTTTTTGTACTATTGTTATAACTAAGTCACCATTATTGTGGCACATGTAATTACTCATTCATGTGTTTGTCATTTATTATTTACAATGTGTAATGTACACCTCTAACTTGATTATATACATGTTTTAGTACTATACAAGGTGTTTATTTACATGGAGTGTAAGCTTATTGTTACATATTTTGATATACATACTTGTCTATTTTATGGTTCTGCATCTGGATGTGTATTCAACCGTGTTTGATTTAGCTATTTGACTTTTTTTATTTGTAAAACTAACATTGTGACAGTCTCAAGCTATCATATTTAGGATCAAATTTGTGTATATCTAAGATATAATCATTGTAAAAAGTTCAAGCGAATGGGATATTTAACCTTAATGATGATCGTATTATTATTTTCACTGGATATAAAGAAATAAAATGTTGTATATTTTACATGGATTTCATTAGTGATTGTTCTTCAATCAGTTATTTAAACTGACGACCATTACCACTGAAGTTTTCTATTCCAAGTTGTGGCAAAAAGGCAGCTCAAAACACCTTATTAATGGTATCACATACCAATTGTGTTTTGGCCAAAGTTTACCCAGATAGTTGATTATGTTTGATAAAGATACATATTTGATATACTCTTGCTGTAATTTAGTTATTATGAAAAATAGATGATGAGATATATACAGCTGTGCAATGCGGTTTGTGTATTTTCAGCAGATGGAGGAAGAAATCTCACCAGGTTACCATGACAACAATAAAGTGCCACCTGCTGGCAAGGTGGACATTGCCCAATTTGTTTTACAAGTGGAGAAATTTAACTGTATGACCGAACCATTTGCTTTCATCTTATATCTCTGGGATGATTTGAGAAGGTAAAAAATATCAATTTTAACAAATGAAGGACACTTTATGACCTTTTTTTTTGAAGATTATCTGAATCCACAGTCCACAGAAGGACTCCACTGTTTCTCTTAAACTAAATATGATTTGCATATCTTGCTCTGAAGTGAAAACCAGACTTCCAGTTTTTCCTCTTTCCAGAGTGCTTTCAAGTTCATATGACTAATTAAGATTATGTGTGAGGGAGCACCTGTCAGGCAAAGCTGGAAAATCACCATGACCTTTAAAGTGTTAATGTGATTTAAAAACAAACAAAAACAAAAAGAAACAAAGAATAAAATTTTATTTTTTCTGAACAGTTTAATGATTAATATATTTAATTCTCAAACTCAATTATATTATGGCTGTATGAAGACTTTTCATTCACATTTTACATAACATATTACAAAGAAAAATGAAGCATTTAAAGTAATACTTTATTGTTATGATTTCAGATGGAGGTATCCTGTATTAACTGTGATTTTATGGATAGTATGTAACCTTGCCTGTCTTATCCTCACGCAAGGTGAGTGCTTGATTCATTCTATAATTTTATTCCAAGTTTTATTATGTAATCACCACGCTTTGAATATCATGAATAGCTATTGAATTGATGTACTTAATTTCAAACTTTTTTTGTCAAAATTGACATGGCCTATTGCTCAGATGATTGGCGTATAGATCATCAAGTGGTTCTTTACCAAGCTTATCTAATTATAGCCTTGGGCATTAATAATGTCCCTGTTTTATAGTCAGTAATTCGCTTAAGTCACGTACATTTAAGAAATCTGAATTTGTCAAGCAATTGTTCTACGGAGAATAATTTTTGCCATTATGGTTTTCTTATAATATTGCTTTTCCAATAGTTTTTATCAGAAATGCATGAACAAAGCTTATTGTACAAAGTGGTTTTCTTTCAAGACTAATATTGTCTTTGTCAGTGTTTTCAATTATAACCCTGCCTTGGACTAACCAGTTTTTAATAGACTTAAAAATAGAAAGTGAAAGCTTCATTCTTCAAATTTCAGATCATTGATATACTTCTAGTTTTATTGTTGAAGTCCATGAACATGAGCCTGACTTCTGCTTTGAAGAAATATTACTAAGTTATTCTACAAAAAGTCATTCTTAGATGGGCGATTTAAGGTCATGATGGCCATCTTTTTGCTTTTATGTTATATAACTTTTTCTTAAAGGTTTCCTCTACTGTATAATACTTCAAGTGTACATGAAAAAATCAGATTATTTGTGTATATTTAAGCGGCTGTATTAATTAGTATATATTTCAGTGGCCATATTTATTTGTGTATATTTCAGCGGCGGTTTTTACCCTGGTATCACTACTGGTAATTGTGATAGCATTGATATGTCTGATACAGCTACATACACGATTGTTGGACAAGTTTCTACCCAGTTACTAGTCTAGATAACGACAGTGTTGATGAACCCGTAGATGAACATTCTGCCTTACAGACTGTCAGAGACTTTAAATTTAGGTATACTTTACATAACATATATAGGGTGTTCATTAGACCCTTGTAATGACTCTTTGACCCTTCAAATTTCCAAAAGTTCTGACTTGACCGGAGGGTCAAATTTTGTTAAAATCATGGGATTTTGGCCTTGTAGTTGGTAAAACTTTAGTTAGTCAAAACGACCCTCAGGATTTCGTGGCTAGTGAACACCATGATATATTGTACAATTTTATATTTGCTTTAATGTTCTTGACCACAAAACATTTCTAACAATAATCATCTCTTTTTACCGAACAAAGGCTTAATGACAATTTCACAAAAGAAATTACATGACGTAAAAAAAGCTTGAATTAAACTATCCATGAACTGATGAATTGAGTCCTTAGAATAGTATTGACCAAACATCCAATTTATGTAAAAATGAGATGAAATTATTAAAAAAACCCAGTAATCTCCCATTAGAAAGTATAAGACTTAAGTCTGGCAGAGTTATTTCTCTTTAGAAAATTATGAACAGTATTGCAAGATTTGTTTCCTATACCCCAACCTGCAACTATCTTTGTTTATATTTCAGTTTGATGCAGATGCACGAGTTTGTGGGCAAGTGTAATGAATATCTACGTCATTTTTACTCACTCCTTAAATGGGATCAAACCCTTATTTCCCTAAAGTAAGTATAGTAAAGTAAGTCAGAAGGTAATGCAAGTTTGGTGTGAAAGATTTTTTTTTTATGATAGTAATACACTGTTTGTGATTAAAGTGTATTTTTATTGTATAAATTATAAAGGTACATGTATGCCATGAGTAACATTTTCACATACCCATGCCGATTTTGCGACTCCCTAAAAACCGTATTGCACGGCTGTATGTATATTTTGATGTGATATCATTTGAGTTATACAAATGTAGTGTAAAGACACGAAAAATGTTGGCCTTACACTATAGGCCCGTCAATGAAAAATTACTGTTTTGCTTTTTAAATAGTTTTGATTATGGGTATGTGATAGATAGAATATTATGTTTGTGTAGGTTCATTTCTGAATTTATTGAGTCTACACTCATTCAATATCCCCTATTTATTTAAAGATACTTGCTAGGTCTCTTACTAACTTCGGTGTTAATATAATAATATAACATGTTTTATATTGATATGTGTATATCTGGGAAATAAATATGTTAAAACTTATAATGTAAAGGTTATTATGTAAGCCATTTAAATGCCTTGAACCAACAAAATTGCAAGACAACCGGCTTACAATGCAATTTCAAGCATTATTTACACAAAAGTACCTTTTCAATGCACATTATTTATGGATATTGTTGATTTATCTATAATTCATTAGTATAACCAGGCTTGTTTAGTAACCATAATTCTAATACATTTTTCAGATTCCATGTAGAGTTATGTTTTTTGTTACTATGTCTGGTTGTGTTTCCATCAAGATGGACGTCAGTGATGTTAACTAACTGGTTCTTTCTTGGTACCGAAGATGTGTGCTTAGGTTTGATATTTCTGATTTTATTATTTCAATGTATCTTTTTATGCTCCCCGAAAAATTTCGGGGGAGCATATAGTCGTCGGGTTTTCCGTCCGTCCGTCAGTCCGTCCGTCCGTACGTCCCAACTCGTGTCCGGCCCATAACTTAGTTATTTGAAGTCGGATTTTAAAACTATTTCACAGAAATGATCACCATATTGAGACGACGTGTCTCGCGCAACATTTTGGTCGCTACCTTGAAGGTCAAGGTCACAGCATGACCTTGCATCAAAATCGTGTCCGGTCCATAACTTAGTTATTTGAAGTCGGATTTTAAATCTATTTCACAGAAATGATCACCATATTGAGACGATGTGTCGCGCGCAACATTTGGGTCGCTACCTTGAAGGTCAAGGTCACAGCATGACCTTGCATCAAAATCGTGTCCGGTCCATAACTTAGTTATTTGAAGTCGGATTTTAAAACTATTTCACAGAAATGATCACCATATTGAGACGACGTGTCGCGCGCAACATTTGGGTCGCTACCTTGAAGGTCAAGGTCACAGCATGACCTTGCATCAAAATCCTGTCCAGTCCATAACTTCTTTATTTGAAGTCGGATTTTAAAACTATTTCTCACAGAAATGATCACCATATTGAGACGACGTGTCGCGCGCAACATTTGGGTCACTACCTTGAAGGTCAAGGTCACAGCATGACCTTGCATCAAAATCGTGTCCGGTCCATAACTTCTTTATTTGAAGTCGGATTTTAAAACTATTTCACAGAAATGATCACCATATTGAGACGACGTGTCGCGCGCAACATTTGGGTCGCTACCTTGAAGGTCAAGGTCACAGCATGACCTTGCAGCAAAATCCTGTCCAGCCCATAACTTCGTTATTTGAAGTCAGATTTTAAAACTATTTCACAGAAATGGTCACCATATTAAGACTTCGTGTCGCGCCCATAATTTGGGTCACTACTTTGAAGGTCAAGGTCACAGCATGACCTTGCAGCAAAATCTTGTCCGGCCCATAACTTCGTTATTTGAATTTAGAATTTAAAAATATTTTACAGAAATGATCACAATATTGAGATGACGTGTCACGCGCAACATTTGGGTCGCTATCTTGAAGGTCAAGGTCACAGCATGACCTTGCAGCAAAATCGCGTTCGGCCAGTAACTTCGTTCCTTGAAGTCGGATTTAACAACTATTTCACAGGGATGATCACCATATTGAATTGACGTGTCACATGCAACATTTGGGTCGCTACCTTGAAGGTCAAGGTCACAGCATGACCTTGCAGCAAAATCATGTCTAGCCCATAACTTCCTTATTTGAAGTCTGATTTTACAACTATTTCACAGAAATGATCACCATATTGAGACAATGTGTCGTGCACAACATTTGGGTTGTTTTTACACTTTGAACTTTGCCTGTGACATAACTCTGACACTACAAGAGGTATACCTTCCTGTGTCCAAAACCTATTCGGGGAGCATCACCCGGTTCAACCGGCTCTTGTTTCAATAGCACCAGTTAATTGTTACTACAACACCTCCCACATGTAGGGTATAGCAAAAACTTAGAATTTTTGGATTATCAAAACCATGGTTAAGGCCATTCCCTCCCAGGACAGTCACATAGTAAAAGCACTGCCCCTACTGGGGCAGTCACATGATATGCTCACTGCTAGATAACTTTTGCACTGTGAGTTAGACATACCCTTTGTTATCATCTCATGCATGAGGCTTGCATAATATGATTTTATTCAACTCATTTTATAGATTTTGTATTAAATCTTTCCTCATTCAATATCCTCTATTTATACCTGGAAATTTGTTTAAATGTTATTCATATTATCTTTTGAATTTAGGAAATATTTATTCAGTTTGGTAATGAAAAATAATTTTACTATTTTGTTCATTTATTTAGGTGCCAGGGATCGATTTTACTTGTTGATCGAGTATTTACAAGGGAAGCGTACATTGTCGTCAGTATTTGAGGCAACAATAGTTGATCCCAAAAACAGGTTATATAAGGTATGCTTCACAGATTATTTTTAACCATTATGCTGCTGGAACCAAAAGTGATTAGTCTTTGCTGTTTATCCATTCAGTCCAACTAGGCTCTATATTTTTGGCTAAATAACTTCTTGACATCCCTATAATTGATAATGGACAGGTCCAAAAATGGAAGCTGGACAAGTCCATTTAAGAAATTCAGCCAGTTATGAGTTAAATGATGGGTTTGAGGAAGATCAGTTGATCATTGATGACAGAAAATAAGCTACTGTTATTTTAGGCCATTTAATATTCACTTTTGTTGCTATGGGAATTAGCATGAAAATAAGTCCGCAAGATTCTGTGAAATAATTGGATTAAAAAAGATGTCTTCACATATCTGGTCTGGACGTTATTAATAACCAGCTAAATGGTTTTACTCATATGCCTACTCTTTCCCGATTTAGTTCAGCAAAGAGGCCAAGGGGCACCTGATGTCTTTCTGCACAAGTGAAGATTAAAAAGTTGTCATATGACCTCAACAGTGTCAGTGTGTGAATTAAAATTAGACAGAAGTTAAAAGTACTGACATTACAATAATATTCTGTGCCTTGATTACAATGATTATTTCACATCAAAGTTATGATAAAATCTATATTTTCAGGATACAGTAAATGGTACAGCTGTAGTAGAGACTGACAGTGAGGAGGCTTCACCATTAACAGATTCTGATAAATTAGATGTAAGTTACAACAAAATATGCAAGGCTTGACTTTTGCTTATTTGTTAAAACATGATTTTTAGTGTTGTTTTTTCCTTCTCTTCTTTGACAATGATGCAATACACTAGGGGATTGTTAGGGATGTTTCCGCCTTGCAGTGCAGGGGTAAATGATGTTTTAAGTATTTGTGGTACTTTAAATCACTTGCTCCTCACCAATGAGGGTTCTTTAATTACTTCCTGCTCACCCATTTGTGTTCCAATGTCTCAACAGACTTTATATACTTTCTTGTGTAGAAGCTATCAAGCAAGCTAGCAGAAGGTTGATGGTTCCACTTGGATGCCCCTTCCTGCCTTTGATATTGCACAAAGAGAGACTGAGATCTTCTGCTATTAAAACTTGAAAGCCACCTCATGACCTTTTTATTGATGAAGCTGCTAAAAACAAATATAAAAGATATACAATGTAAATTTTTATTACAGACGGGTTTGGATGAGACGGGGGATGAAGAGGGGAACGGGGATCAGGTGACATCGGGTGACAAGCCGGGTATGGTAGCCAGGCTAATGGAGCTGAAACGACGGAGAAAAATTATTTCAAATGGTTTGTACAACTATTTATTGTTTTGTATATTATTGTCGAAGTACAGGTATAGTGACTAGAAGTGTGATTGCATAAGGTTAAGTATGTTCATGATTTTGAATCTGCTTGTTTTTAGACAAATTTTCAGAACAAACCAATGCCTTTGAATTCAAATCAGTTGAAGCTATACCTTAATTGTATGTGTGATAACAAAATTATAAAATGTCAATGAAAAGGAACTCATTATTTATTGTAACAAATTTCAAAAATAGATGACAGGACATTGAAATTGTGTAGAGAAAATATTTATAGTATATA